GAAAAGTTTCCTGCGGCCCTTTTTGCGGGATTTTCCACAATTTTTCTTCTCCGTTTTTCCTGATTTTTTCAAAATTAGTAAAATAAATAAAAAATTACATAAATGAATAAGTAAAATAAATAAACAAATGCATTAGTTCATAAAAATATAAAAATTAAATTTTAAACCCGATTTCATTCAAAAACCAAAACATAAATTTAAAGAGTTAATGACCTTATGACCCAAATAAATAGAGGTTTTAAACAACAATTAAGCGTAAAGGTTTCAGTCTGTTACAAAAGGTGGTCTGCTATTGGTATGGTCGTTTTGAATTCCGAGTCATGCCCTATGAATTGAAAAATGCCCTGACGATATTCTTGAATGCCATGAACCAAATTTTGGGACTTGTCTTGGGCTAGTACATTCTTGTCCACATTGACAACATATTAGTGTACTCAAGGAACTCCCAGGACCATGTCGCCCATCTCACTCATGTAATGGAAACTCTTCGTCAGCATTGCTTGTACACCAAGTTCGAGAAATGCTCCTTTTAGATGGATCAGATCTCATTCCTTAGTCATATGGTTTCTAGTGAAGGGGTTTCCATTGACCTGCTGTAATCGAGAACATCATCAGTTTAGACCAACCTATCAACACCGAAGATATTCAAAGATTCTTGAGCCAAGTTGGATACTATCGGCACTTCATCCAAGACCTTTTCCGCATTTTCGTTGCTCTAACAAGCATTGTCAAGAAGGGGTTTTACATCAACTAGGACCCCAAGTGTGAACGAAGCATTTTTTAGATTGAGTGTCGACTTGCCACCACTCCGATGTTGGCCTTTTCCAACAACACCGACTATCTTCGAATAAAGGGTAACGCATACCATACGGGTCTAGAGTGTGTACTCGTGTAGCAAGGCCGACCCGTAGCTTATGGTTCCAGGAAACTAAAGTCATATGAGCACGACTACACCTTTTACAACCTTGAGCTTACTACCATCATCTTTCCTTTGAAAATATGGCGTCATTATCTGTAAGGCCGGACCTTCGAGATTTACACTAATCATGAAAGCCTAAAGTGAATGTTCCCTAAAGAAGAATGAACTAAAAAATAGGGACACTGGACTAATCTTCTAAAAGATTACGACTGTATAATCCTATGTCATCCCAGCAGAGGGAGAAACATTGATGGTGCCCTTGATCAAGAAGAATGAGCCTCATTAAAACGATTGATGATTTCTAGATAGAAGATGTTAGAGATGATTCAGGAGCTTCAAGTAAGTCACCGTGGCCACCATACCTATTTAGCCCATATTTTGGGTTAGCTCAACATCCACGGCAGACTTTGGGAAACCCAGGCGATGGACCCAGAGATTTTGGAGCACAAGAATAAATTTCGCCCCACGGGAGATAGCAGCAGCAATGTTTACTTCATGGTGACTAACGAAGGACTGTACTAGTTCCACAATCAAATTTGGGTACATAATAATCCATCACTCTGAGCAGATATTCTGAAGGAGATATATGCGTCTAAGTTATCCATCTATCCCAGTAGCACCAGAATGTACCGTGATCTGAAGCCTTAATACTGGTGGCCCAGCATGAAGAGGGATATCGCCGAATATGTCTTCCGATGTCCTATGTGCTAGAGAATCAGGGCCGAATATCTAACGCCCTATGGTCTTTTATAAGGTCTCCCTGTTTCAGAGTGGAAGTGGGAACACATTGCTATGGAGTTCATCAATGGACTACCTAAGACTGTACCAACTGTGATGCCATTTGGATAATTGTAAATCAACTTACTCAGACAACTCATTTCCTTGCCATTCGGACCACCGAATCAACTATGAGATTAGCTTAACTATTTATCGAAAAAGTTATCCAACTTCATGGTGTTCCTACCTCTGTGGTGTCGAATAGAGACCCTCATTTTGCACTGTACTTTTGGGATAGCTTCCTGAAAGCTATCAATTATAGTTTGAACCTTAGCATCACTGATCATTCTCACACTACTAGTCAAATTAACCTTGGAGGACATGTTGCATGCCTGCGCTCTGGATTTCGGTAGCTATTGGGATCAACACCTGTGTCTTTACAAGTTCACTTATAATAATTGTCACCAATCTAGCCTTAGTATGGCTCCTTTCGATGCCCTCTATGTTAGATCTTGTCGATGCTCAAAACTCATTATAATAGGTTGGAAATAGATACCTCCTTGCGTTGGACTATGTCCATAAAATTATCGCAAAGGTTGACACTATCTGGAGACATCTCCTCACAGCTATGAGTTACCAAAAGAGTTATGCAGACAACCAAAGATGACCCATGGAGTTTGTAGTCAATTACCATGTCTACCTTAAGGTTTCCCATGTAAGTAGGATGACAAGATAGAGAGATAGTAAAACTAAGTTCTCATTTCGTTGGGCCCCTGAAGATTTCATAACATGTAGGCCCTGTGGCCTATCGCCTCGCTCTGACCCCAGATATGCTTCCTTGCATGATGTCTTTCAAGTCTCTTGATTTGGAAGCATCTCATCAAAGTGAAAGTCTAAGAGCCCCTATCTGCACGAACAATTCTTATGCAACATATCTTATGGAGATCATTGACGGGGCAGGAGAAATGATACATGGTCGGGACGTTTCCATGGTTAAGGTACGTTGGCAACACCACACCTAGGAGGAGGCAACATGGGAAGAAGAAAAAGAGATGTGAGATCTATATTTTGACTTACTTTGGGGGACTCCTGCAAATTTGGAAGACCAAATTTTTATTAGGCGGCAGAAATGTAACACCTTAACTTTTAGGCAGTTAATTAATTTCAAAACTAAGATATTTCAGCCCTTTGGGCATATAAATTTTCATTGAAAATACAAGTTCATTTTTATTTTAATTAGTTTCCCAAAAATTTTATCTGAATTAAACGAAATTTTAGAGCAAAAAGATGAGAAAATAAATGGCATTGGAAAACACGACTCACAACCGGTGACCCATGGCCCGCAATCTGCGACCTGCAACCCATGAGCCACATTTTGTGACCCATGACCTGTG